AGGCCTATGGCTCATTTTTTTTCTTATGGTATAAAATAAAAGTTTTAAACTTTTAATACTCCAAGGATTTTCTAATGTCCGTTTTTTTAAAAAATTTATGAAGTCTTTGCCTGCTGTCATATTTCTCTGCTATATTGCCTTGTGGCTGCACTACAGGCAGCTATGCGTGATGGTGTTTTTAAAGGTGTCTGGGTACTGCATTCTGTCATTACATCTTTGTTCTCTAAATGGTCCTTGAGAACATGTGACACCTTTCTCTGATCTTTGTAGTAATGAATACATTCTTAATTTGGTAAAATTGATTGTGTTAACTGATGTAATCATTCCCTTTGCAAACCAATCTATGGCCCTGTTGATAAAGTATATAGGTTAGTTCTTCATGTACAAATTTAGGTTCAGTCCAAATTCATTGCTCTATTACTAATTACACTCACCAGTGTGGCTTTTGTGTCAAAATTGTCATAACCTGGTGATGGAATGTGGTTCCAAACGCGCAGGTTATTATCTTCCACCTCACTTATTGTTCATGGGTCATGTGATTTGTTTGTTTGTAAATGTCGTTTTAGATTTTACTGCTTTGTTCATTATAATTTAGTTATCATGACATGTTCTTCTTTTATTGTGTGTTTGATTCTTGCACTATTTTTTTTATTTCTCTTTGATCAGGCCTATGGCTCATTTTTTTTCTTATGGTATAAAATAAAAGTTTTAAACTTTTAATACTCCAAGGATTTTCTAATGTCCGTTTTTTTAAAAAATTTATGAAGTCTTTGCCTGCTGTCATATTTCTCTGCTATATTGCCTTGTGGCTGCACTACAGGCAGCTATGCGTGATGGTGTTTTTAAAGGTGTCTGGGTACTGCATTCTGTCATTACATCTTTGTTCTCTAAATGGTCCTTGAGAACATGTGACACCTTTCTCTGATCTTTGTAGTAATGAATACATTCTTAATTTGGTAAAATTGATTGTGTTAACTGATGTAATCATTCCCTTTGCAAACCAATCTATGGCCCTGTTGATAAAGTATATAGGTTAGTTCTTCATGTACAAATTTAGGTTCAGTCCAAATTCATTGCTCTATTACTAATTACACTCACCAGTGTGGCTTTTGTGTCAAAATTGTCATAACCTGGTGATGGAATGTGGTTCCAAACGCGCAGGTTATTATCTTCCACCTCACTTATTGTTCATGGGTCATGTGATTTGTTTGTTTGTAAATGTCGTTTTAGATTTTACTGCTTTGTTCATTATAATTTAGTTATCATGACATGTTCTTCTTTTATTGTGTGTTTGATTCTTGCACTATTTTTTTTATTTCTCTTTGATCAGGCCTATGGCTCATTTTTTTTCTTATGGTATAAAATAAAAGTTTTAAACTTTTAATACTCCAAGGATTTTCTAATGTCCGTTTTTTTAAAAAATTTATGAAGTCTTTGCCTGCTGTCATATTTCTCTGCTATATTGCCTTGTGGCTGCACTACAGGCAGCTATGCGTGATGGTGTTTTTAAAGGTGTATGGGTACTGCATTCTGTCATTACATCTTTGTTCTCTAAATGGTCCTTGAGAACCTATGACACCTTTCTCTGATCTTTGTAGTAATGAATACATTCTTAATTTGGTAAAATTGATTGTGTTAACTGATGTAATCATTCCCTTTGCAAACCAATCTATGGCCCTGTTGATAAAGGTCACACTTCTCAAATCCTTCTTTCAAAAAATATGCTTCTATGCGACTATACCAAGCACGTGGTGCTTGTTTAAGCCCGTAAAGGGCTTTCTTCAGCTTATATACTTTATGCTCAGCCCCTTTTTGCTCATAACCACAAGGCTGGTCTACATACACGGTCTCATCCAATTCTCCATGCAAGAAAGCTGACTTTACATCTAGCTAATAAAGTGTCCATCCCTTTTGAGCTACAAGTGCTACCACCAAGCGAATTGTCTCCATGCGGGCCACTGGTGCAAATACTTCAGTGCAGTCTACTCCATACTCTTGTGCATACCCCTTCACAACAAGTCTAGCTTTGTACTTGTCCATTTCTCCATTCTCTTTGCGTTTGGTCTTATAAACCCACTTCACTCCAACTTTCTTTGCTCCTTCAGGTAGTTCCATCAATTCCCATGTGTCATTCTTGTTTATTGCTTTCATCTCCTCATCCATGGCTTGCCTCCATTTTGGAATTTGTACAGCAGTTGCAAAGTTTGTGAGGTCACTTTCACCAGATGCAAACATAGTCAAATTAGCTTCTGGACTGTCTTCAAAGAGTCCTTCTCTGGTTTCGTAGTCTGCCATCCAGCGGGGTGGTCTTCTACACCTTTGAACGGGACTAGTGGTATGTTCTACTATCATGCAATCAAAGGAAACAATATCTTCTTGTGAGATATTAAGATCATGTTCTGAGGTATCATGGCATACCTGATGTTCGACATCAACAACCTCATGCTCGTCATTTGCATCCACATCTTGATCACCCCATTCTAAATCACATGAGATGACTTCTGCATACTTCTTATCCCAATCCCAGCCTTTATCTTCATCAAACACAACATCCCTGCTGATGATGATCTTTTGTGAAGTTGGATCATAAAGTTTATAAGCTTTTGATACTTCACTGACCCCTAATAAAACACAACTCTTACTTTTATAATCTAGCTTGGTACGTGTAGCATCAGGCACATGAACATAAGATAAACATCCAAAAACTCGAAAATACTTAATTGAAGGCTTGACTCCACTCCAGGCTTCTTCTGGCGTTTTATTTCTCACTACTAATGTGGGACTCCGATTCAAGATATGTACAGACCAGGTGGCAGCTTCAGCCTAAAAAGTTTTAGGCATTTTTTTTCTGAGAGCATACTTCGCACCATGTTCATAATAGTTCGGTTCTTGCATTCTGCAATCCCATTCTGTTGTGGAGTGTATGCAGTTGTAAGTTATCGACGAATACCATTGTCAGAGCAAAAATTGGTGAAGTCTTGAGAGATAACACTACAAGAATTTCGCGGATTAGCGAGGGAATTTAGCAAGGGATATAATTCCTCTCTAATCCCTCGCTAATTAGCGAGCAAATAGCTTGGATTTATATCCCTAGCTAAATTCCCTCGCTATTTTGCGACCAACTTTGTCTCCTCGCAAATCCTTCGCTAAAGTTAGTGCTTCTTTAGCGAGAAACTTAGTCCCTCACAAATGCCTTGCAAATCCCTCTCCAAATTATGAGCCAAAATAAAAAAAAATAAATTTTTCATCTAGCGAGGGAGTTTTCTTGTCGCAAATTCCTCGCTAATGAGTTATAAGTATATCCTTCGCAAATACCTCGCAAATCCCTCGCAAATCCTTCGCAAATTAGTGAGGGAAAAGTATTGTCGCTAATCCCTCGCAAACACTGCAAGAATTTTGCAGATTAGAGAGGGAATTTAGCGAGGAAATAACTTGGATTTATATCCCTCGCTAAATTTCCTCGCTAAATAAGAACATTTTGCGACCAACCTTTATTTCCTCGTAAATCCTTCGCTAAAGTTAGTGCTTATTTAGCGAGGAACTGAAACCTTCGCAAATGCCTAACAAATCCCTCTCTAAATTATGACCCAAAATAAAAAAAAAAATTTTTTTTCATCTAGCGAGGGAGTTTTCTTGTCGCAAATTCCTCGCTAATGAGTTATAAGTATATCCCTCGCAAATCCTTCGCAAATTAGTGAGGGAAAAGTATTGTCGTTAATCTTGCGCAAATAAGATATTACGTTGCTTGCAATACCCTAATGTCTCGCAAATTTAGAGAACAAAAGTCTTGCAAATTGACTAATATTATCTAATATTTTTAATTATTGAATATTTAAAAATATTTTTAGAATTATTAAATATTATCTAATATTAATTTTAAAAATTATTAAATATTATCTAATATAATATATTAAATAAAATTATAAATTATTTTTTATTAAATCCTAAACCATTAAAAATAATTTAATAACTAATAATTAATATATATAAAGAAAATTCAATTTTATCAGACCAATCAAAGAAATTGTAACAAAATTTTTAAACCAACTCTTTTTAGAGTACTTGCATCAACTTTATAATATATATATATATAAGCATTTATAGAGTATAAAATAGAAAAAAAAGTTAAAATTAATTTATGTATTAGTTAATGTTTTGAGAAGTTAAAATGAATTTTTAACAATTTATACATAAGCTAATTTTGTTTATAAACAAGTTAATTTTATAAGTATTTATTAAAAAAATAATTATCCTTTTAGCTTCAAAAGTTTTGTAAACTGTATTTTTTAATTTCTACGGTTAAAAACTCTTATTTTGATCATTATATCTTTTATTTTATTTATTCTTTATTATCTACTGCTATGAAAAATAAAAGACACATTACATGAAATTATAAACACTATCAGGAGAAAAAACAATTCGTGCCATTATTAAAAAATAAAATAATATTTTCATAAAAAGTGAATAATTATTATTTTTAAAGAATACAATTATTTATATATATATTATTTTATCCTTAGATATAAATTAATAAAAAAATAATATTAAAAAAGTGGATAACGAAAAAATATATCTTCTAGATTAAAAATCTAAAAACAACTGTTTTTAACTATAAGATTTAAAAAATATTATCAAATCGTTACAAAAAATAAAAAAAAGTTTATCTGTTTAGACACCATACCGTTTTTGCCATCTCTATTTATTGTATCTGGTGGGGTATTATGTAAGCCAAGGCCCAAACCAGAGCCTCGTGGCAGCTGGATACACATGCCATGTGGAATCGAAAATCCAAAAAAGCGCGACCCTTATATTTTCTTTTTTATTTTCATTTTTTATATTATCCCACTTAGATTTGCACGGTTCCTTCCCTCTATAAGAACGGTTCGTTGATGCGTCACGCACGACTGTGTTGTGTATTGCAAATGAGAAAGACCCGTCACATTACTACTCTCTTCACAATCGCGTCTCACTCCCAAACCCTCTTCGGTACGCTTCCACTTTTCCATTCTCACTCCGCATCGATTCTTTTCCGTTATCGCGTACATGCATTCTCTTCTCTCTATTCTTTGCGTTTTTAATCCGTTGTCATCGTCGCCGCTCTAACCACGCTTCGCTCCACAGTTTGCGGATTGTTCTTTTTGTGTTCTTTATCGTATTTATGGAATCTTTTCGATGGTTGTTTGTTTCTAGTCCGATCAAACTATGCAGTCGTTGTTTGTATTGTGAGACGGGATTAAATCTTTTTTGTTTCGAAAATTTAAATTAGAAAGAAAGATGAATAATATTTTAGGTTAGGTTTGTTTGGACTGGATTAATAAAACTGGACTGAAAAAGTGAAAAGTGAAAAGATATGTTATGCTGTGATGGTAGCGAATGTGCCTTGTTTTCCTTTTTTTAAGTGTTTCTCAATCAATTGCTTGATGGTTGTTTGGGATGAGGTTATTGTGTATTGTTGATTATGATTTTATTTTTTTAACTATGGGATTTAACTTTAGGGTTAGCATTTAAAGTTGCTGAATACTGATTGATGTTTGACAGTTGAAAGCTGTTTGTTTTGTTGTGTGACTATATTTACACAATGCAAATCGTGTTGTCTATTTTCTAATGTGACAGCGTAGTGTAGTAAATATATCGCCATGGGATTCAGTGATAAGCACAATAATGCTAATGGAAAAGACCCAGATTTTGGTGCAATCTTTATTTCGAATAGTGACACAAAGAGAGAAAGCTTCCGCAGGGGATTATTTGGCCTTCTGTCAACTGAAATCCAGTTTGTAGAGAAGGTTAAAGCCGGAATGATTTTTTATTCTTATTGAATATGAGAAGAGACAACTTCACGGTGTGTTTAAGGCTTCCTGTGATGGGGCTATAAATATTGTGCCTAATGCCTTTGCAGCAGTGGGGAAGCAATACCCTGCTCAGGTAAAAATCCACTCGCACCATTTTCTGAGTTTCTGTTCACATCAGTATTCAGCAAAGCCTTCTTTTGATTCTGAGTGTATTTTTCTTGCATTGATTAATTTTATGGTCACACTTTCACAACAATTTGCTGTAGGTTAAGTTCGATATTATTTGGTCCTGTAAGCCAATCCCAGAAAAATTATTTCCTGATGCAATCAGAGAAAATTACTTTTCAGCTAACAAGTTTATCTTTGGGCTATCTGAAAATCAGGTCTACAATCTTGATATTAAAACAAAACAATTATGATAGTTATAGTATGAAAAATGCAGGTAAAGATGAATATATGAATATTAAAAATAAAATTGCGACAAAATAGTGAGGGATTAACAATGATAACCAAAACATTACAGTAAGGGATCTGCTAGGAAATAGCGAGGCATATCATGTAAAAGACAAAATAGCGAGGGAAAAAAGAGCAAATAGCTAGGAAAATATAACTAAGGAATAGCGAGACAATTGCTAGGGAAATATTGCGAGAGAATAGCGAGACAATTGCTAGAGAAGTATTGCGAGGGAATAGCGAGGTAATTGCTAGGGAAATATTGCGAGGGAATAGTAAGACAATTGCTAGGAAAATATTGCGAGGGAATAACGAGACAATTGCTAGGGAAATATTGCAAGAGAATAGCGAGATAATTGCTAGGGAAATATTGCGAGGGAATAGAGAAGGGTCTGCGAGGGATATTCAGCGAGGGATATTCAGCGAGGGAATTGCAAGGCCTTAGCTAAGAAATATAGCAAGGGAATAGAGAGGGGTTTGTGAGGGAACATTAGCGAGGGATTAGCTACAAATTAGAGAGGGATATTTTGCGACTCCTTAGCGAGGGAATAGCGGGGAAGCTTGATCGCAAATTAGCGAGCAAATAGTAAGCATCCTTAATATAATTAGCGAGGAACTTAGTGAGGGATTGGCAATGGATTTTGCTACAGATCAGCGAGGGATTTAATCCCTCGCTAATTAGCTACCTTTATTTAGCGAGGGAATGGTCTCTCGCAAATTCATCACTATTCCGTCGCAAATCTGATTAGCGAGAGATTAGAGACGAAATAGCGAGGGAATAGTCCCTCGCTAATATGTAATTTTCTTGTAGTGTAAACTCTCCCCCTCTATCAGTGCGCAAACTTCTAATTAATGAGTTAGCTTCTTTTTCAACATGGACTTTAAAAATCTTAAAAATAGAAAGAGCTTCTGACTTTGCAATTAAGAAATAAATCCATGTCTTCCTACTAAAGTCATCAATGAAGGTGAGCAAATACCTTTTTTTGCTGTTAGAGATAGGCGTGATTGGTCCACAAATATCTGCATGAATTAGTTGCAAAACCTGTGTAGCCCTCCAATTACTCTTCTTTGGAAATGAATCTCGTGATTGTTTCCCAATCAAACAATCTTGACACAAATTTGTTGGTGCTTTCATCATTGGTAAACCATATACCATATATTGCTGGTAAAGCGTATTTAACCCCTGGAAACTCAAATGCCCATATCTACAATGCCAAAGATGCATTTTATCCTTCGTAACACTGTGGAAACAAGTAGATTTGGCTGGGGGAGAGCTAACATGCAATAAATACATGCGATTGGCAGATATTTTAGTTTCTATAACTAAGCCATTTTCAAGATGAAACACTTTGCACTTGCCATGTTGGAACAAAATACTAAGTCCCTTTTCTTGTAACTGACCAATACTGAGTAAGTTGTTCCTTAAATCTGGCACAAAGATGACATCAATAACAATATATGTGGTCCCATTCATGCGTAATCGAACATTACCTTTACCAACTACTGTCATACTGGAATTATTGCCCAGTTTGACTGAATCTTTGTAAGTTTCATCAAGATCTGAAAAGTATTCCTTCTTCCCGCACATGTGGTTACTACATCCAGAGTCGAGGAACCACACAATGTCCTCTATTGCCTTGGTTATGTCATTGTGGACCATCAATAGCATTTCCTCTTCATTCTCAACATAGTTGGCTTCTCTCCTTTGATTTGAACATTCCCAACTGAAATGTCCAAGTTGGTGACACGTGTAGCACTCCACAGTGGATTTGTCAAATCTATCGCGTCCTCTTCCTCGTCGTCCAAAGCCTCCACGACCACCACCACGATTGTGTCCCTGTGTTGTCTATTGATCTGCATGAGCAATCTGCAGGGCTTGCTCTTCCATCACCTGAGATGTTGACGTCATGCGGAGTTCATGTACAAGGAGACTACTTTGTAATTCGTCAATGGTCAGCGTATCGGTATCTTTAGACTCCTCAATGGAGCACACAACGTAATCAAACTTAGGCGTCATGGATCTCAAAATTTTCTCAACAACTGCAACATCACCTTTGTCTTCTCTATTAGCTTTCATCTTGTTGGCGATAGTAAGTGTGCGAGCAAAATAATCATTCACAGATTCTCCCTCCTTCATGTGAAGGATTTCAAATTCTCTTCTAAGTGCTTGCAACTGGGCGCGTTTGACTCGGGAAGTGCCATGGTACTTCTGTTTCAATGAGTCCCATATATCTTTTGTTGTATCTTTCTTAAGAATTGTCTCCAGAACCAAACGATCTAATGCTTGGAATAGATAGTTCTTCACCTTCAAATCTTTTAATTGTTGATCATCAATGTGCTTTTTCTATGCGTCGGTAAGCGTTGTGCCTTCTGTAAATTGAGGGATGCCATTCTGCACCAGCCCCCAATACTCCTTTGAACGCAAGAAATTCTCCATGAGCAGTGCCCAATGATCATAATGCCCGTCAAACTTCGGTATAGCAGGCTGCACAAACGAGCTTTCCGACGTCATTGCGTGTTATGCTGAGCAGACTGCGGTTGCTGCTTAGGATCAGGCCCCGTGATGGAGCTCTGATACCACAATGTTAGACTCTTGTGAATATAAGGGATGAAAAAATAGAAGTCAAGTCTTATTCATTGAATAATAACTAATGCTAATAAATAGCATTACATGAGGATAGAAAACTGCAAAACTACCTAAGCGAATATCACGCTCTGTTTCCTAACAATACGATGGATTTATTCAAAACATAACGGTCCTTAAACATGTGGACCAACCATATCACTTATTAACAGCTCGTTCTCTTGCTCGCTTTTTCCTTCTCTCTTTCTACTTCATGTTTGCCTTTCTTCTCTTTTAGACCCAGGTTCCGTTTGATTTCTTGATGATTAGGGTTTCATTTTCAATTGTTTGATTTTGTCTTTGATTTCTTATTGATCATGGTTTCATTTTCATTTGTTTGATTACATTGACTTCATATATTGATTCTGTAAGTTTGTTTACTGATTAAAGATTGAGACATAAAGTGAATAGTAGTTATGTATCAGTCTCTGATTAGATTTTGTGGACTGTATTTTATTCATCTTCATGTTTTTGCTTCTATCTTGTTACAGGTAGAAATAAGGAAAATTCTCTTTGCAATTGTTTTATAGGAAAATTATTAGAGATAGAAAAAGTTAACTTCTAACGACTTCTTACAAAGAAAACTGACTTTTTCTATTTCTAATGAAAATTTGTAGAAACTGCAATAAGAAGAATAGATGAAACAGAGAATACACTAAAGCATAAAGAGACCAACAAAAATCATAAGCAAAATCATTAATAAAGATTTTGAGTTCAATAGTTATACTATAAACATGATTTGCTATAGAGCATAATAGGATCTTCTTATCTATATATGTTGTCAACCCAACTAATGGAAAAAAGTTTGGTTGTTATTTATTTGTCTAGGGAAATAAAAGAAAAGGTAAAGGATTCTAAAACAAAAGAACAGGAAAACGTAGACATAATCTAATATTGTGTTCTGATATTTCATTCAAGTTCAAGTACTCTAACCTCATCTATCATGATTTGCCCACTATTGGTTTATTCTAATGACGTGGTCTTAGAGATAATATTTATATTAATGTTCTAAGGAAATTAAATTAAATCAATAACAATGTCCTAAGGCACCTGTTTGTACCTATATAAATCATCTCAAATTATTCGGTATGTGTTGATATTTGTTGATTTGTTTCTTTATAACTCATGTTATTTTGTAAAATTCATTTTCCCTCAATCATGCTCTCTTTGACTCTTGTAAAAATTATATGTGTTGATATTTGTTGATTTGTTTCTTTAGAACTCATGCTTATTTTGTGAAATTCATTTTTCCTCTATTCCTTTTGTTTAATTCTCTAATATTACCTTTTTTTAATGAGGAACTTCTCATGCTTTTACTTTTTTCTATTTTACTCTGAAAATATTATAATTATTATTTTTCTTTTAATACATGATGCAAGCACATAGTGCCTTTTTCTTGTTAGTCTTTATTTATATTTTTTTTATTTGTTATATATACTAAATATTTAATACACAAGTTAAAATACTACAATTTAAAGGATTTTTTAATATTTGAGAAGCTGTGTAGTACGATTTATAATAGTTTAAGAATTACTTATATAACTTTAGTACGATTTAATAATTATTTAGGAGAGAGTGATTCTTGTAGCCAAATTGATAATTTATTCAAAAGTTTTGTTAATTTTCAATTCTTATCGTCATGTCGAGGATAAAACAAGACGATAAATTTTGGAAAGATAAATAATAATAAGATTTAAACTCTAAATATTTTCAAGCTTTTAACATTGATTTTTCATAATAAGTGATTTCAATTTAGTTTTCAAAAGATTCACATGATATTATTTTGTATTTTATTATTATTGAATATAGCTATTATGATTTACTAGAAGAAACATCTCCAAATATTTTTAAAAGTAAAATAATAAATAAATAAAAATATAATACTGGGATCAATTATTCAAAATTAATAAACAGTGGTTACTAAAATTGTTAATTTATTTATTTTTAATAATTGAGAGTATTATATCGTCTACGAATTGTACAAATGAAAAACGGTATTTTTTTTAATAAAGTGAATATCTTGATTTGTTGTACATATTTTTTTTTAGATGATTTTATTCTTAAATTTTTAAATAATGAAAAGTAGTATTATAATATGTGCACTTTTTTATAAAAATTTTTGATAAAGTATTTTAATTAATTTGAATTTATTTAATGGACTTTTAAATAATTTTAAAAAATTATAAAATTTTGTATAATGATATATTTAAACTGAAATAATGGATGATGTATTCTATAAAGAATTGAAATTTATTTTTGAAAAGTATGATATTATTCAATTTAATCATTTATTAATTTTGATATATGTTTTAGTTCATGTTAATGTTAACTAAAAATAATAGCAGAATGATATTTAATTTCTATCATAAAAGCTAAAAAAATCTTCCTAATGTGGAATTCTTATTTGATCTTCTTATTAAGAAAATTTTATGATCGCAAAACATTATGTTGTGTAAAATTATTTATATGATTATATGCCAACAAATTAATTTATTCCATAAATGAATTGTTTTAAATCTATACTAACATTCTATACTAATGAAACATTTTGGGCTTATTGTTCGCAGGATTATATACCATTATTTATTTAGCTTTTCATTATTTTACTTTTCAAAATCGCTTAAAACTATTCTTACAACTATAATTACAACTATCTAAAAATTATTCATATCTTTAACAAATTACTTTCGTTTTATTCTTTTAGATAGTTAATGATTCACTTTTATTTTACATTTGAAAAATGAAAGTGTTTTTTTTTTTACGTTAGTTATAAATAATAAAAATAAATAATAATAATCTATAATAATATTCAATGCTGCACTGCAAATTTTATTTTCGATTTAATTAAAACGCTCCAAAGATACAAACAGGGGATGCAGTGAGTCACAGCCAGAGACACAATTTCCGTCCAACAACCTCTTCCCTAACGCCGTCATAACGTTTCGTCTTTCCTGCCGCCAACGCTGAAACGGACGCCAACTTCTTACATATATAGCGCCTTCCCTTTCCGTTTGCGTGTTAATCGATAGAAGAACCTTTGAAACATAAATTTCAATACGATTGAACATTTCTGAACCACTGAAGAATATCTGATTCTGTGGGAAAAGCTTCTCAGTCTTTCAAGGAGATAAACAACAATGGTGCGAATTTCTTTTTAATTTTGTTTTTCACGTTTGATGATTGCGCGTTCACGATTAGGGTTTTTTCAATTCTATGCTTCTTAAATTTCGGATTCAATTCTGTCTTTTCTGTTTTGATTAGGGCTATTTCATTTTCATTATTGTAGTTTTGTATAAAAGAGAACCTTTTTAGTAATTATCTTGGTCTTTATTTTTTTTTAGATTATTATACTTTTTTATTTTAAAAAATTTTAAAAATATTTTTAATTAAATTTAAAAAATTGAAATTAATAAATTAATTATAATATTAATTAGATTCATATATTTTTATTATTTAATTTTTATTTATAATAAAGGCATGAAGTATCTCGATCTCACTAATTTAAAGATAATATACATATAGAGGCACGAAGTACATCGGTTCTACTAGAAAATTTATACTAATCTATATTAATATATAAGAGGATACTATTTTCAATAACTACTTTTAGTTTTCATTTTTATATGGATTATTTTGTCCTTTATTTATTTTTCAATAACTATCTTTTTTTTATGAGTACTTTCTCTTTATTTTCTTTCTTTATTTTTTGTTTTTAATACAATACAGGCAAGTGTATTTTTCTGCTAACAATTATAAGGAGTTATACATCTATCCCCATTATATATCTTGGTTTGTTTTTATTTTCTCTTTTGGGCTTATTGTTCGCAGGATTAAACAGAGATACAAACATTTTGGGCCTGGTGGAAGTGTGGGTCTAGTGTGGCGAGCCCAAACATTGCTTCCCTCCTTCAATTCAAAGTCATTCTTCCGTTTCATTTCGTTGCTGCCAAAATCGCTACCTACAGTGGCTCCACCAAACTCATAGCGTTGAGATTCAATTTCAAAGAATTTAATACTGTTTTTCCGAAATCTCTCTGTTAGGTAACCTAACTACGCTTTTAAAATTTTTTTTTTATATGATTTGAATGTTTTTGTGATAGTAAAGTTGGCGTTTGTTTTTCGAAACACGTATGTGAGAATTCCCTATGTGTAAATGATATGTTAATTGGTACGCACTCGTGGTGTTTGCCATAATTCCTACACCACAAACATGCCAGATTCAATTGTTGGTTCCTCAAATTAGTGGCATTTTAGTTCTTAACATTTCGGCAATGAAAATTGACAATATAACATGGCATACTTTAATGTGTACAGGTTTTTCAGTTTAAAAAGTTACAAAATTTTAACACACATTAAAAGAACGAGTTCGAATGAAATAATTCGATTTTCACCTATATGTATATCTTGAACAAAGTGATAACCTTTTTATTATAAAATATATGAGAACTATAAATTTAATTCACATAAATATATGATGTATGACCAGTATTAAAAGATATTTAATATTAATATCTGCATGACCATTAAAAAGAATATCATATTTTTAGTTTAATTTTGACCGTTCAAATTTAATAAACTACACTCATGTATTTGTTTAGAGTGGTTTTGGAGTGGTTTTGTTTTGCTTTTGTTGTCTGAAGAAGAATAATCGCCAAATCGCTTCTCTCTATTTTGCATGTTATGTCACTTTCTTTCTTCTCTCCACATTCACTTTCATGTCCCCAAGAAAACCATCCTTACGTGTTGTTCTAGATCTATATAATTTCGATGGTAAAACTTGATTGTGCATGTATTTGAATAATTTATTAATGTCATTGAATACTCTTATTTATTTATTATTGATTATTGATACTTTTATTTGAATACTCATTAATTTATTTGGCATCTTGTTGATCATAATCAAGATCACATTAAATTTACCACTGCAACTTCACCATTTCAGAATGTAGATATATGTTGAAAGCTCGTTACTCTTCCTTAACCAATTAGAAGAGTACTCCACAATTCAAAACTGTAACCACCCAAAAATGGCATTGCGTTCGTGTGTCACCCTTATCATCTTCCTACTTTCTTTTTCCTTTCTCGCGTCTCATGTTGCTGGAACTCAAATTATCTCCAAATCCAAGTTGGAGAAGTGCGAGAAGAACTCCAACTCCGATAATCTCAATTGCACCACCAAAATTGTAGTCAACATGGCTGTTCCCAGTGACTCGGTAAATCATTCTCATTGTCTTCAATTAAGTGAATTAGCCACGTTATGCATTGTATTTTCTCATTTTGAACTTGCTTTATGATGGTGTAGAGTGGAGGAGAGGCTTCAATTGTTGCAGAATTGGTGGAAGTAGAGGAAAATTCAACCAGAAAGATGCAGACATTGCGGATTCCGCCTGTGATAACGGTCAACAAAACTTCTGCATATGCATTGTATGAGTTAACATACATAAGAGTATGATACTCCTCTTTATTAGCCTTTTTGGCCTCTCTTTTCAACTAATTTTTCACGGTATGATGCATTCAAATACATATATATTTGCAATTGTATATACATGTTGGATTATATGAGTGATAATAATTATTTATTGTTACTATTGAGAACTAATCTAGCATTTTCTTTTGGTTTTGGATGATTCTATTTTCAAAGCGAATGGAAGCTAGACGATTAGTGTGGATATAATTTGATATTTTGTATGATTAAGTTAAAGTTTGTTCTTAGCAGGATGTTCCATATAAACCTGAAGAGTATTATGTTAAAACACGCAAATGTGAGCCAGATGCTCGTGCGAATGTTGTGAAGATATGCGAGAGGCATGCTACGTTTTATTGTTGTTTTATTTTTTGCTAGAGGCTAACTATAGTATTAGACAATGCTAATTTCACTGCTTAGTTTCTTGTACTTGTGTTGCAGACTGCGAGATGAAGAGGGTCATATAATTGAGAACACTCAGGTGGCTTTCTAACACCTAATTTTATATATAGTCATTGATGGTCATAGCTAACATACTTGCTCCACTTTTTACTTCATTAGTTGTTTATGTTAATCTTATTTTAAGTGTTTGAACAGTTATGAAACCATCTTGGTTAACATATCTATGTTTTTGTATTTAATGTAGCCAATATGTTGTCCATGTGGGCCCCAGCGGCGGATGCCTTCATCATGTGGAAACTTCTGTAAGTGCTTTGTTGTTGTAATATTCTGTTAAGTTTTCAAGAAACATAGAACTAACAATTATGAGTGAAATTGTTTAACTAGTTGACAAAGTAACAAAAGGAAAGGCCAACACTGCACATTGTGTACGTTTCCCAGGTGATTGGTAAGCTTCCACCCTCCCTATTCTTTTTTATTCTAATTGTGATTGATTTGGGCTATTTTGGTTAATATATGCTCTTTAAATGTATTTTGTGTTGGACTTAATGGGAACACATGGAAACCATGTTTACATTGAACCTTTTGTATATACAAATCAACACCCTATTCCATGCTATCTTGTTAAGATATTTTTTGAAATATTTTTGTTTTCATTGTGCATGATTATCCTCTTTTTTTTTTCCTATTTGTTTTAAATTTTTAAAAAAAAGTTTTAGTTGCAATAATCAAATAACTTTCATTAAGTTCGTTGTAATTTTAGGGATTTAGATAACAAAGGGAAAGAGAGAGAGATCTAGC